TATCAAAAGCGTTTTTATTATTATAAAGATGTTGAAATTTTCATAAGAAATTGAAGTACTTCTTGGAAAAGCACTTGGGAGTGCTTCCTGAAGAAGCACATAGCAGGTGCTTCTCCAAAAAGCGTTTCTATGGCATAAAAGTACTTCTAAATTTTTTTGCCAAATGCTGTCAGAAAGCGCTTTTAATTGTTTCAGAAGCACTCACAAACGGGACATATAGACCACTTATTTTCAGCTGAAATAGTTCAAATAAAATATATAACAAAAAAAGGAGAATCAAGTAAAATAATTAAAGGTATAAGAAGAAGAAGAAGATTTTGAATTTTTGAGAAGAAGAAAAATGCATACCTTCAAAGTAACTGTGTGAACAAGACTCTCAGAAGCAGTGGCCAAGTTGGAATTCTGAACATTGAAAACTATAAGGGACTCAAGAACCATGTAAAGTGATGCGGCCACCCCTTGTACCTTGTTGCACACCAATTTCACATAAAATCCTCTTTCCTCCACTTGAAACATGTCCATCTACATGCCCACATGCATCAATTAATATCAAGTTATAATGTTTCAAATTTTTACTTTTTTTCTATATATATAAACGATAGTCTAAACTATTCTAAATTGATCTAATTTATAAGAAGGGGGATTCGAACTTGGGTGTAAGGAGATGGTGTTCAAATTTTAAATGGTATGAAAAGAGAAAATATGTCTGCATCAGTGTGTACGGTGGGTGTACCTGAATTATTTTCTTGGAAACTAGTAGGCTTGTGTTTGCCATTCGAATCTTTCCAGTGTTTCCAATATTATTATATCCTTGATATCTATGAGGTGGCCCAACAAAGGATGCTTCAAGCCCAGCAATCTAAGACTTCAGCTTCTTGGCTTGCATTTGCAACTCTTGCATATACTGCGAAGCATCCCCAACAATGGATGCCTTATCCATCTGCACATTAATGCATAAGGACCTGCATTATTTAATCATGTATACTATCCTGACAGAGTTCACAGGCTCACAGCTGAACAATGTCATGATGATATGGTTCATCATGTTGTATACCTATAAAAAAAAATAAACATATGTATAGTAAATGCATTCAAACACGAACCAACCCGATTAATAGGTTTAGATTCAGCCTAACAATTGTCAGACTGTCTGTCGAGAGAAATGTTTTTTTATACATGTATACTACGCGAGCATATACGAAGGCATACCTTAGTTATATTCGGAACCAAGGCTCGCAATGCATAGAGCTTCTCCTTCATCCTCCCTCTCCTCTTTCGCTCAGAAATCAAAGTTCTTGATTTGTCAATGTTCTTCCCCCTCTTAGTTGTAGTTGTTGTCATACTTGTTCCTCAAGAGTCGTCCCTGTTAGAAAGAATTGCAGATTTGTGTAAATATAAAATGGATTAAATATGTCAAACAATCACAATTAACAATAGGTAGATTAAAGGAGAAAGAAAGTCTGGCCTGTGAACCCAAGAGAGGCACGATAAACGCTATCCTAAAGCCGTAGACACCTTCCTACGTGCAGGTTATGGCGGTGTCTACAACTCCAAAATACAACCCAAAAGCCTCACAGGATGTCTGGTCCGTTATGCATGCCAACGGCAGACAGGTATGCCAAGTGTTGATCGATTGCCCAGGAAATAGATAAAGAGAATTGTAGGAGATGGAGAATGATGAGTGTGATTCAGATATAGAGTATGAGAGTAACAGAGAATTGTTCCTACTCTGTTATGAATGAGGAGTTGTTATTTTATAAGACTCCACACACACTTTTATAAAGTCACGTCCATTGGGTCAACAAATATGACTTTTAAAATAAATAATTATTACTATTAAATATATAACAATAATAATAAGTTTTGAATTTTAATAAAATAAAATAAAATAATAAATAACTAACAGTCCCAACCATTAATATCTTCTTCTGTAACCTCTTTCTTTTCCCCTTCAAAACTTGGGAGCAATGAATTAATATTAAAGCCAAACATATCACCAGGGGTCCTCGGACCAAATTGGTTATCAATTAAGCAGCCAAATGCTGAAGGATTATGTTGTATCTGTGTGAATTTTACTAGTATGGTTGGTTAATTTCTTCACTTCAAAGTATGTTTTGATTACCAACTTGACAAAATTACAAGGATATGGTTTCTTCACTTTAATTTTTTTTGGTATTTAAATTGGCCGTCACACTAACGTCGACATGACGTCATGTTAACATCGACATGACATCAGCTTGTCCAGGAAGCAGCTCAGACAAGTCTTGCCTTCAAACTTGTCTAGTTTGGTGGGCCCACTTCTTGCCATGACAGCTCAATACTTTTGAAGGGTAATTAATAGATTTTACCCTTGGCTATACCTACCAAATTTAAAAGGGTAGTAATTTTTATGCTCCAATTGTTACCGAGATGTGTTTTTAAATCAATGGGGGTTGGGGGTTTCGAATTTAGAGTTCTTTCAACGTTGTGAAGAGAAGTACCACTAAACCAAGAGCTAGTTGATTGATCGTGAATTTTATGTTTTGATTAACCTCTTGTTTACTCAATTATCAAAGCATGAAAATAAGAAGGATGAGTGCAACATAATTAAAATAAAATTAAGAATTTCATTGCGAGGAATTAGTGCTTGAATGATCTTCAACCAATCCCAAGACCCTACCAATTCTCCTTGTCCAGAAAAGAAAAAAAAATCAATGAAGTTTCTTTTTTCGTCCCTTGTCTATGGACAGAACCTGCCAACAACAGTCCAAGTGTAAAGAAAAAATACAAAGGCGACAGAGACCTGAGCAAAAATACAAAGGAAACCCCACTGATTGTCCAAGAAAACCCATTGTCAACTTTGACAGTAGCTAAAGGACAAACTACCAGTGGTCAATGAGATCGAGAAGAAAATATATATATCAGAAATTTTCTTGTCCGAACATCTGAATGTTATTATCGTGCGAACATCATATATTTTCTATTATCCCTCTCTGCTTTCCTTCTTCTTTACAATAGCATCCGCACGATAATAAAGTGCAGACATCCAGATAAGAGAATAACTATATATATATATGGAATACATTAGTGACCATATGAAAATATGACCTATGTTAGGGAGAAAAAAATGGGTTGTCTAGCATTTTTGCTAGTAACACCTATAGTATACTCTTTCTTTGTTTGTATTTAACATATATAGTATACTTTGGATTTATGGTAAAAATGAAATTAAAAAACGAAACCGCTCAATCATCACATTGTGAGTGAGGGGAAGAAAGAATCAAAACAGAACCTCATGTGTAGGGTTAAATACTTTTTTTTTTTTTGTCTGAACCACGAGGTGGTCCTGGATGGGCCCCAACTATGGGTGGCACCTTTAAGCCTTAACCACAACCCAGACTAATCCCCGCTCATATCGGGTCGGCCCGTAAGGGGTAAAGTGCTAGCCAAAGTGGTGACTTCGTACAAGAGCAGGGATCGAACCCCTGACCTCTCTTAAGGAATGAGAGTGCCGAACCACTCACACCAACCACCTTGGCTGTAGGGTTTAATACTATTAACTATAGGAGAAACATGCCCTTTTTTTTAAGGGAAATTCACTATTATACCCAATATAGGAGTCCAAATTATATAAAAAAAACTCTATAGAAAATGAACTTTAGAAACACACCCAAAGTCCATTTACAACATAATAAAAAAGCTTTTAACTTCTTTTAAATTACAAAACTACCATTAATTCTTAAAACAAACTCAATCCCAAAACCTCATAAAAAAATCAAAACACTCAATAGGACATCAAATTAATTTAATAATCAAAATTAAATTCAATAAGGCCAGTTATCATTTTTTATGTGTATTTTTATTTGTTTATAGAAATTAAATGGTGTAGAATTTATTTATAGTTTTAATGCTAAGAATAGGTATATAACTAAATTTTTTTTTTGGGGAATGCTAGCAACCTTCTCTCTAACCTTCTCCTTTGGACCTTCTCCCCTCTTTGCTTGACATGTGTCATTCTCTCTACACTTAAAACAATGCCATTAATATATTATACAAGCTAACTTTTGCTTTCCAAGTTTACCCTTATTACATGTATTCAATTTATCCAAAAAAAATTCACAACTTTCTTACCATCTTATTAATCTTTTTTTAACGTAAATTATTTTTTTAAAGAAAATATGTGCTTTTTTTCTTAAAAGAGGAAATGTTCCTTTTTTAATTTTATTTATAAAACACAAAGGGTTTAGATTTTTTTTTTAAAAAGTCTAAACTTGACATTAAAAAAAAGGGGGACATTTCCGCTTTTTTTTATTTATAAAAAAACAGATATTTTCTTTATAAAAAAAAATAATAAGATGGTAAGAAAGTTGAGAATTTTTTTTGGATAGATTAAATACATGTAATAAGGGTAAACTTGGAAAGCAAAAGTTAGCTTGTATAATATATTAATGGCATTGTTTTAAGTGTAGAGAGAATGACACATGTCAAGCAAAGAGGGGAGAAGGTCCAAAGGAGAAGGTTAGAGAGAAGGTTGCTAGCATTCCCCAAAAAAAAAATTTAGTTATATAAGAAAAACAGATACACTATCTCTTTTTTCAAAGCAAAAGCCCCCACAGACACCTCATTTATTCGCACAGCTCCTTCTATTCTATCCTTGTAGGACTTTAATTTTGTGCATCAAATCAAAGTCATCTCACACGTGATTTGAACCTTTTTTTTACAACCCATACCCCATTTGCCTCTTGCTACTTTGTCCTAAAAGAAGAGAGACACCAAACAAAAGGAAAGGAACCCAACCATAGGCTATAGAGATAGCCAAGAAATAGTAATTTAGAAATCCACCACTCCCAAGGAAGGAACAATGGCATTATTATATGCACCAAACCCCAAAGTAAGCTGCTTTGACCTTTTGAAAGGACCTTTTTGGATTTGAGAATGACAGTCCAAAGTACCTTTGGGTTTTGGGAGTCAACCACTTTTCCACAAGGCAAGGGAATCCTATGAGATGTTGAATCCCAATATCCAAGTCCAAAAGGGATTTCCTCAGAAAAATTTGAAACCCTAAAATAAATCTTTGGTGCTAATAGCAGCGCCATGCTGCAAGAGGAACTGTTCTGAAATAAAAGCAGGGCAGAAAAAGGGAAAACCCCATTTGAACAACCTGACCCAAAAATCCAACTCCATATCTCAGGAGTGGGTCCACCCACCAGGACCACACCTAACCCACATCCCCTTTGCAAATTATGTGATTTGCTCCTTTCTTGTTACTTTTCAGATGTACAAAAAAAATTTCTTTTTGCCTTAACCCGCCAACAAGTTTACATCATTTGAAATTCGAACGACCTGAAAATCAGCCATTTACTTTATCCCTAAGCATTGCTGTCTACGAGCTGCCAACTGCGGTAGTATCGAACGGTGCTCTCGATTGGATTATAACCCGAGCTCCTGAAGCAAGCCTGTTTAGGAGGAAAACAAATAAAATGTCAACCAACATTGACGAGACAAGAAAAAACGGGATTATAGTAACAAATTTGACCAATGTGAAAATGGGGAGGAGTCAACACTCAACTTTCTTCGATTTTGATCACCTTCTCCTTCTCTTCTCTAAAAGAACCTAACCTGTTTGATTGCTTTTTAAGAGATGAAGGCTCTGTGATTCTTTTACAAGCTCCATTGGATACACAGTGGGTATTGATTTGTGCACCATCAACTCCATCTGAGGAGTTCCTTGGTTTATCAGAAATAGGTGATCTCATAGATTCACTTCGTGGTTGCTTATTGAGTGACGCCTTGATTGATCTTGGGATGCATTTTGAACGTCCTGAGGTAGACTCCTCTTTGTCCTCTTTGTCTGAATCTGGCTTCCTACAACTCCTGCAAGTTCACAAGTTTAGCATTTGAACCATACTTGTTGCAACTGCTGGATTAAACCTGAGGCTAATTCTTTCTTCTAAGTACCCCCATAATTCTTCATAGAAAAAACTCCAGAATACTCAACAAAGCAATCCAAATTGAGGGAAAGTCCCAGAGATGCAATTTGGCGGACCTAACCTAGTACATGTAACCCCTTGAATTTGCTCTCAGTAGCATTAGAAATGAATCTGCTTCTATTATTAAAAGAAAGAAGTGAATCTGCTTCATTCCTTGTTCGGGATCAAATCAAATTCTCATGATTTGATGTAATTCTCTATTTCACTGTCATTGTGATGCTAACATCTGATCTAACAGTTTTAGGCTTTGTGATTTGCTAACTTATAGCAGAAGCACATTCATTACAAAGATCAGATAAAATGGATCACACATATAAAAGAGCACAAAATTTAATGTGACTCAGCAGAATCTTGCTGATATCCATAGACAAGGGGGAAAATCTGCTAAAGCATAGAGGATTACAAAAAATTATGAGTCCCACACCAAACCCAATTCTCTCTAAACCGAGCCTTGAAATCATCCTAGTTCCACTTTCAATACTCTTTGGTTTCTCCTAAGACAACCCTACGTTGCATCTCTATCAAAAAAGTCAGACAACTACCTCATAATCCTAGTTATTTCTTTTTTTTTTTTTCTTTTTTTTTTTTTTCTAAATTCCTTATTTGACAAAGAAAAGAATTCCTTTCGACCCTAGTAAACCCAAACGAGTAATTAAATACAAAGCCTACAATAGACCAAGCCAAATTGAGATTTGAGAAATAATATCCAATATGATTTAACATTATGATCTAACTTGGATGTTCAGAAGCCTAATTGAACTGATTATTAAATTACCAGAGCTAAATTCCTTATTTGACAAAGAAAAGAATTCCTTTCGACCCTAGTAAACCCAAACGAGTAATTAAATACAAAGCCTACAATAGACCAAGCCAAATTGAGATTTGAGAAATAATATCCAATATGATTTAACATTATGATCTAACTTGGATGTTCAGAAGCCTAATTGAACTGATCATGGTCTTGATCAAGCTAGGTTTGCAAAGCAACCAAACTTTTGCCAAACTTTTGACTTCAAAATGTGCTTGCAGTCACCAGGAATGAAGAAGCATCCAAGGGGCCCAAGCTCAAGTTGTTCAACTTCACAAATGACTTGAGATGTTTAACGGCCCTAGACTCATGGATCTTAGGAGGGGCGGTCTATCTTAAAGCATCATTCAAATTCGATAACTGATTAATCTCATTTAAGAATTAAGAAACATCTTAGTTCTTCAAGGTAGCTAAGAAGTCAAAACTCTGGTAGAATCCCTGGGTTTAACCATCTAGGGAAACTGCATACACAAAATTTTTCAAATAAACACCCCTGCACTTCACATTATCATCATCTTAAGCATGCTTTTGACTGATTTTGGTCCGACCGTACTATCAAGTGGTAAGAGATTACCCTAAAATACTTGTATCATAAGACATAAAGTGCCTAAAAGAACTGAAAGAAAAGTTCAGGGACTAGGCAAACCTGTCAGCATTGTATGAAGATGATCGTTTTAAAGCTGAGCGTCCATCTTCGTCCTTGAGCATTTTAGTCTCAATCAAGCTCCCACTAAAATATTCTTTCTCTTCCAATCTCAAACCCCTTAGCCTTGGATTGTCTGATAGGCAGTCTAGCTCTCCCAACATTACCTTAGTGGAGAATAATGGGGAGTGAAATTTGGAATGGGAAAACCTGGGTTTGTATGTTGGAATAAGACCAAAACTGTGATCCTTCACTGATATTGACCCACATGAGATGAGTTGCATAAGTACATTAGTAGCCTTGGCCCTTGGATTGTTTGTCATTCGAATGTCTTCCTCTTCAAGAATTCTAAAACTGTTAATTTTACTAGCATCAGCCCTAATAAGTGATTCCAGAGTTTCAGTCTTCCCACCCGATGAAGATGCACTAGAGGAAGATGGAGGAGGAGAAACCGAATCACTGCAAATCTCAGAGTTCTCTTTCTCACATGGAACTCTGTTTTGGTAATAACTACTATCAGGTTCTAATGACCCATCATCAGTGGAAACACCCCTTGTACATGTTTCTTGAGCTTTAGGTTTGTTCACATTTTCTTCAGTCTGCGTAGAAGCATCAGCTAAACCGTCACTCTTGTAAACCTTGTACTCTGTCAAGCTCAGAGAACCCCCCCAAGAAGAATTCTTTCCAACTGTAGACTCTGGAGACGCACTGGAAGAGCCTTCAGGACGTTGAACTGGAGGAGAGAGCTCATCTTCTTGAGAATGCTTTGTTTCCTTTCCATTCAAACTCGAAGAGGATGAAGAATCATCTTGGCTTCTAGAAGATGCTGGCTCTGGTAGTTGTTTCAAGTTCTGGATTTTTATATTTGCCACGGGGCTAAAACGATCTGTCCAGAAAAAAGTAAGCATCTAGATTTAGGATGTTTAATTTATTTACCATGGAATGGAAAATTTTGGTCAATAAGCAATTTCTATTATCTGGTGCAAAAAATATATGGAAATTCTAGAATTACTAACTTCAATTGCTAGCAACCAAACAATGAGAAAATGAATCTTCTACTCCTTTTACCTGAATTAGATTCTTCAAAGAGCTCAGAACCTTTGAGGACGTACTCATTTCCATGGGCCGGAAGAATCAGATCATCTTCAGAGAGATCATGCCAAACGAACCCATTCTTATAGCTTCTGTAATCATTCAGACAAGCAAACCACACACTTAAACAGTGTCTTAAAAATCGACCATTTCTAAAATTTGGGCTGAAAAAGGAGTAGAAATTCACCTCTTAGAAGACCATGAATACATGGAAGCCATGCCTCTGCCCCTCAGAGCATTAAGCCTATTAATCACATCTGCACCAAAAATTTAAAAAACAAATAAACAAATAAATCCTCAAAATTCAGAAAAACAAAATAGCCAATAGAAAATCCCCAGAAATTGATGCTATTTGTTAGTTGAATTTTGAATACCTCTGAGGTAGAGCCCTTGAGGAGAGGTCACAGTAACCTCCATGAAATGAGGGTGTTCAAGCTGTCGATTTCGAGAGAGATAGTAAACCACAGGGACTTTGCGATTCTGATGGTACTTAGGCGACTTCTCAGTCCACACTTTAGCCCTCTCAGGACTCACTTGTGAGTACTTCTTCATCCTACCCTCCATTGCTTCCTTCGTTTTCAGCTCAGTTCCACAGTTTTCTAGAAAGTTGAAAGCTCTTTAGGTTCTGGGTTCTCACCAAAACCTAGTAAACAAAGTTCTCGGAGCTTCAATGGCGGCTCTGCCGCTCAGATCAGTGTGAAACCCGCAGAAGATTTGTGGGTTTTTAAAATGGTGGAGAAAACCGGATCAGAGATTCAGTCTGAGAGACTTGAAGAGCTGGAATCTTTGAAACCAGTCAAAAACAATTTGAACTCGTTAAGAGGGCGAGACAAGGAGACCAAAAAACACAGACAGTAAGAAACAAAGAGATGAAGCTGAAGAAGCATCGGAGGAAGTGGACGCCCGCATTTATTGCATTGCAGAATGGCACACACACATTGTGCAGTATGTGTTTGTATTTACGACTCTGTCTATTTATGTGTTTGACTGAGAAAAAGCTTTAAAAAGAAAACCGAAATTTATTACCAGGGAAATAGTGGCTGCTTGTTGCTTCAATGGAACTCTCTCTCTCTCTCTTTGGCTTTTGCTGCTTTTCGATTATTTTGCTTGGCTTTTGCTTGTTTGTATTGTTTTATTTTATATTTGTGTACGGGTTTTACCTCTTGTGAAACCCAAGGATCGTCCCACGGACTACAGACTTCAGAAAGAGTGAGAGTGATATGGCTTTTCAACTTTGAATGGTTAATTTTCAGGTTATCGTAAATGGAGTTTTGTTCTTTCTTTTACGGAGATATAACAAATGAGAGTCAATGATGGTTGATTCAGTTGGTAAAGTCTCTATACTGTGTGTAGTCTCACCAGTATTTGAGTTTCGCTGTCAATAATCCTCATTGGTGTGCGATATGTAATTTCCTATATAAATTCATACTTGTAATAACTGGCAGTTGGATGCCACGCATAAGTCCTTCCAGCTCAAGGTTGTGGGTATGCCCTAACGCTAGTGGTGAGAGTAGCCACTCTTCCCCCTAAACTTTTTCTCACCAAATATATATATATATATAACAAATGAGTTCAGAATCATGAATTAAACTCCAATTATTTATGTCTTCCTCACTATCGATATAAGCAACAATAATTTTCCCCTAGTTCTTCTAAATCCCAACTTGGTTTCTATCGAGTATAAGCAACAATAATTTTCCCCTAGTTCTTCTAAATCCCAACTTGGTTTCTACATCAAAATTATTAAAAGAGTTGGATGTAGACACAGAGAACAATGTAATATTGTCAAATAATCTACGATGACTTTACTATCTCCCTTCAAACTCTTCAGCATCTACAGTTTTTTTTTTTCCTGATTGGAATGTGTGTTTTAGATTGATAATCTAAAAAGGCGTTGAAGTCTAGATTTTCTTTTGTTTAAAGTATTCTAGGTCTACTCTCTATGTGGCAATATTAACTTTTCACAACTTATCATCACAGATCTGGTAAAACACTCCTTTTTTTTTTACTTTTTTTTTGTCGAATTTTTTTAATGTTCTATAGCTATGAAACTATACTATTTATATGATACCAGTTTGTGTTTTGCTAAAGTAATTTCCCTCAATAAACTCATTAAAAAAAAATTAAGGCAGAACGATGTGAGTGGAGTCTGGCCCAAAATTTTTGTGGTGAAACATGACTTTGATACGATATATTAGAGCATCTTCAACAATAGTAGCAAATTAAAGTTTGTTGACTTACGTGACAATTTGAAAAAGTTTATTTGCCGCTTCAATAATTTTTGTTCCAACATGCTTTTCAATTCAATTAATGCAATATCATGGAAAAGAATAAAAAGGGGCACGCGGGGGCTTGTAGTGACATAGTTTTGAGTTTTTTGGAGCCGACTCAAAACTGAAAAAGGGCACGTGGGGGCTTGTAGAAAGTGGTTAAGAGCGTTTACCTATGTACACGAAGTCCTATGTTCAATTTCCTCTCCCCTAATATCGCTTGTATAAAAAATATATATATAAATAATTGGACACAACCGCTACGGTGGTAAGACATCAACACAATGTTGCCATAAAGAGGGGAGGGGATCGGGTTGCTGCCAATCCAAACTGAGGTTTTATGAATTGTTTTTTATTTTTTTCCAATGATAAAATTGTCATAAATATACACTCCAACTTGAGGGGGAGTGTTAAATAAGATCACACAAAATAAACAGTCAATATTGTAAATTGATTCTTAGTTATTTACTTGTTTTGTATTTGGTTAGTCGTAATTGTAGGCAATAGAATAGGATTGTCAAGTACAATTCTAGTATAAAACTGTAACTCTTGTTCTGTGAATATATAATATGAAATCAATTCTTCCACATTTGGTTTCTCTTGAATTAGATTTAAATCACTTCGGAAATTGGTTTGGTCTTATTCTAAGTGCTTCATAAAATTGGTGGAGTTGTGCTTGGTGTGAGCCCAATGTCAACAGTGAAGGGGGTTTCCTTCTTCCTTTTTCTAAAGTAATCACCCGCAACATCCATTGGCCTGAAACCGAAGATATGAGCCATGTCGAACAAAGTAGGAGCCATTGGACCTGCTGGGAAATCAAAAGTGTTCGTGGCTGAGTTCCAGAAACACAGTGATGTCGACACGAAGGAAGATATTTGTACTTTGCATTAAATACATAGAATATATATAAATAGAATACACGTGGCATAAAATGAATGAAAAACGTATAAGAGAAGATAGCTAGCACTCCTCTTGTTCCCTTATATGCACGTATGCACTGATTCTACAGGACAGAATGATTGTGGTTTTATCATTTTGGAATAATCCACTTGGCCTAATAATTTTTGTAATGTTCTTAAACGCGTACATTAATTCATGCTTATCACAAACAATGTGGTCCAAATCTGTCAAATTAAAGAATTAATAACCCCCAAGACATGGCGCGGAGGGCATTGAATTGCATTGCCCTATTATTATCAATCAATTGGAACTGTCAAACATTGTATTTAATTTAGTCTAATCTTTACACCTCCCTTCCCTTGAAAAAAACAAAACATTTCTATTTATGCATTTATTTTCCCCACTCATCTACTTTATTATTTTTATTTTCTTTAGCAATTTTAAGAATTAAAAAGAATTAAAAGATTAGTGCTGACAATACTTTTTATTTTGCAGATGTTATTTTATTGGCATTGATAATGCCGTGGCTTTGAGGGAACAAATAAATGGGGATGAAGGAAAGGGATGGGAGAGAATAGGAGGAGGAAAGTGAAACGATCTTCCATAAAAATGAAAAGCTTTGTTACCTACCTATTGGAAGTGATGGTCAGCAACTGAACTGCTTATGTATGAACTAATTTTGTTTGTAAGTGCTTTTTCTAGATGCGCTTATGTATGAAGCATTTTGTTCATAAGCATTTTTTCTAGATGCGCTTTATTAGAAATAAGTCGAAGTTTTTATTAAAAATCAAATTGCTTTAAAAAGAAACACTTGGAAGTGCTTTTTGGAGAAGTATTAGAAAACGTTTTTAACCTTTCTGTCAAACGGAATCATAAGCGTTTTATGCGTGAAAAACTCATTTCAAAAACAGTTTCAAAGATGCTCTAAAAATTTCAACATCATTTTAAATGAAATAATACTTGATTGATGCAGGACGTATGACCTTTTTCTTTGCGTGTTGAATGTTCATCCACTTTTCTATGAGTTTATCATTGAATGAGATTCGATTTTGCAGGTTGGTTGAGCTCCAAATCAGAAGCCGACATGAATGAAATTTGCTGCATTAAGCCACTAACCTGAGAACACAGCAAGCAGTATTTTAAAACGAGTAGGTGAAGTTGAGATAGTACTCTTTGTCAGCAAGAAAATGACACATCATCTCAAGTATTAGTGCCTACAATTCCACCGAACCATAGTCAAGTCACTTCTTCCCTCTAGAATGATCAATGCATGCGGCTATGCAAGAAAAGAATAAAAAGGATATGCAGAAGAGTATCAAATTAGCAATAAATTTGCATGTAACATTTAGCCTGAAAATCAGATAGAGTTCAACTTTCCTTCTTATTATTGCGATTTTCATGGATATACCATCATATTTTTGCTTATAAACGGGTACTCGAGAATGCCTTGAAGATCATATTCGGAGAAGAGTAATAAAGCATCAATAAATTGTCTCATAAAAGAGAGAAAACAATACTGTCACTTGTAGTATCGTAAGAGTAAATACAATTATACTCTCATATTTCGTCTATTTTAAAACACTAATATATCATGCCGCATATCATTTTGCAGCTCTAACGGATGATATTAGAATTTCAAACTAAGGCGAAAATAACCTCACATGTGGATAAAATGCATCTACAAGCCTTAATAGACCATGTTACAACCCGGTAAGACATAAATTACCTTGAACACGACAACAACAAAAAATGCATTGCTAAAAAAGTGTGAGACATTTTATCTTGGTGTTTAAAATTCAATGTAAATTATTAAAAAAAGGTAAATATTAAAAAAGTAGTTACTTAAATTATTTGCCTCCTTGAAAGTCACAATCTTTTGTTGAGGCAAGATATTATAACCAAGCACTAGCGGATCCGTGAATTTTTTAACAAAGGTGTAATTTTGGTTATGATTTATTTATATATAAAAAACAAGCGCACTGCACAGCGTAGCACAACACAATGCAGTAATAGACTGACTTTGTTTGGGCCTTTAGTCAAACACCTAGAGTGCACCTCTCAGGTTGAGCAGAGGTACAATATGCACACCTATAATGGCTTTTTCGGTGAGAGAAGATGCAACTGCACCTTCTTGCACCTTAATAGGTCCACCACTGTAACCAAGTGCCACACATATCCATTGTCATACTTTGAGTTCCCAAACAATGTTTGAAGAAAACTCATTCAAATATCAATTGTTTCAATAGTGCCCTTGTAGATGGTTGTAGACTAGAAGACTGCTTAGAAACCCATATGGCCTATAATAAATATATATAAAAGGGTTAATGATAAACACATAATTATTACAATTTCTATCCCTAATCTATATTTGTTAATACTTTATTTTACTGAATTTTGAACCAATTAGAATGTTACCTTGCATTTTACAAATCTAATTGCACTTCATTGAAATAAAGGCTAATTCAATTGATTTCTCTAATTGGTAGCTATTTCTTGTGCAGCAGCCCAAGGGGATAAAAGAAATGAAGCCCAAACTCCAGTCCATTTTCGGCAGTCAGTTTGCAAGCCCCAAAACACACGTTTTTACTACTCAAATGGGAATACGTTCTTCATGAAAGTTGTTCCAATGGGTGTCTATTATAACATATCCAAATTTGAGCCCCATTGGATACATATTGAAACCTCAGGCTTTCCTACACCAAGCCTGGTTCAGGAGAATCGTTTTTTCAGCAACCTAAAAGAATATGGCAGCAAAGGAATGCATGAGCAGCATGGCAGCACATGGGTTGGAAGCCCCATTGGATACATATTGAAACCTCAGGCTTTCCTACACCAAGCCTGGTTCAGGAGAATTGTTTTTTCAGCAACCTAAAAGAATATGGCAGCAAAGGAATGCATGAGCAGCATGGCAGCACATGGGTTGGCAGCAAATAAAGAGCCAAACCTCCATGCTAAAAGAAGAATGGGCAGCACCATGTGTGCAGCTGCCAACATGTGAAGATGATGATTATGTTGATGCTTTAGTTGCTTTCCTTCCTCTATAAATAGAAGGTAATGCAAAGAGAATGAGAGTAGAATTGTAGAGCAGATTTTAGTAGAATAGAGTGCAGATTTTGTGCAATTCTTAGGCACCAAAGGGAGAGGAAAAATGGCAATATAATTGGAGAGAACCTTGGGGAGCCATGAGGCAAGGAACCAAGGGGTTGATGATGCAATTTTTCCTTCTCCTCTTTGTTCTTAATTCTTATCTTGTATTGTTATTTTATTTATGTCTAGTTAAACTTTGTTAATGATGAAATACCATTATGAAATGAAGTTCTAGTTCTTAACTTTCAATTATTATATTCTTTAATGTTTATAATTTCACTTTCACATGATTAATGGGTTAATTTTCTTTTCACCACTTCTATCATGTATTTGTGGTAGTTGGGAATACAAGTTAATCTATT